ATTAGTTAAAAAAGTTTCAAAAATCCAATAGATTTCGTTCCACTTCACAATTGTGTCCCACTTGTTGGTGATTCTTCACATAAAATAAAAAATGTATATCTTTATGTTTGAAGCCTGAAATGTGGCAAAAGGTTGAAAAGTTCAAGGGGGCCGAATACTTTCGCAAGGCACTGTAGCATTATATAAAGCAATCCCTTGCTATGCGTGATTTTACCTTGCACAGAATTGAGTATCTGCATGGAACTTTCTGTATACCATTTTGCCTTGCATGACGCTCATTTTCTTAGTTCAAGAATAATAATAAATGTTATTTCATATACCGCCTTTAAAGGTGGCTTCTCAAAGTACTTTACAGAATGACAACAACAGTAAATAAAAAGAATACACAAGATAAAACACAATTACAATACACAGAGGATACCGTGAATGGTGGTACTAAGTATAGTAGGAGAATAGGGGTAAAGAATGGAACCAGTTAAGTAAAGGCACTTCTGAAGAAGAAGGTTTTGAGTCTGGATTTGAAGGAGTTAAGAGAAGGTGACTGATATCCTATGGGAGAGAGTTCCAGAGCTTGGGGGCAGAACAGAAGACCCTGCCACCCATAGAATGTAGATGGTCTTGGAGGACAGTTAGGAGACCAGAATTAGAAGAGCGAAGGTTGCGAGGTGGGGAGTGGTGCAATAATAATTCAGACAGGTACTGAGGTGTCAAGCCATGCAGAGCCTTATAGGTGAGCATGAGGTTTTTAAAGTTCACACGGAATTTGACAGGAAGCCAGTGCAAGGACTCCAGGATAGGAGTAATGTGATCACTTGCACAGGCTTGGTCAGGATTCTGGCTGCCTAATTTTGGACATACTGCAGTTTGTCCAAAGTAGATTTAGATACCCCAGCAAGTAGAGCATTACCGTAGTCAATTCGGGAAAACACAAATGTGTTGATCAGCTTTTTTGTTGTTTTGACAATATGCTGCACATGTGGGTCGAATGTTAAGCCAGAATCAAATATCACCCCAAGGTTTTTGAATTTAGACTGAAGCTCAAGTACAGAACCATCTACAGACAGGGTTACAGGATTGGCTTTACAAAGTTGATAGGGGGTGCCAATAAGCATGACTTCAGTCTTATCACAGTTAAGATGAAGGAAATTTTGAGTTTCTATGTCAGAGATGCAATTACAGTGCCTTGCGAAAGTATTCGGCCCCCTTGAACTTTTCAACCTTTTGCCACATTTCAGGCTTCAAACATAAAGATATAAATTTTTTATTTTATGTGAAGAATCACCAACAAGTGGGACACAATTGTGAAGTGGAACGAAATCTATTGGATTTTTGAAACTTTTTTAACTAATAAAAAAATGAAAAGTGGGGCGTGCAAAATTATTCGGCCCCCTTGCGTTAATACTTTGTAGAGCCACCTTTTGCTGCGATTACAGCTGCAAGTCGCTTGGGGTATGTCTCTATCAGTTTTGCACATCGAGAGACTGAAATTCTTGGCCATTCTTCCTTGCAAAACAGCTCGAGCTCAGTGAGGTTGGATGGAGAGCGTTTGTGAACAGCAGTTTTCAGCTCTTTCCACAGATTCTCGATTGGATTCAGGTCTGGACTTTGACTTGGCCATTCAAACACCTGGATACGTTTATTTGTGAACCATTCCTTTGTAGATTTTGCTGTATGTTTGGGATCATTGTCTTGTTGGAAGATAAATCTCCGTCCCAGTTTCAGGTCTTTTGCAGACTCCAACAGGTTTTCATCCAGAATGGTCCTGTATTTGGCTGCATCCATCTTCCCCTCAATTTTAACCATCTTCCCTGTCCCTGCTGAAGAAAAGCAGGCCCAAACCATGATGCTGCCACCACCATGTTTGACAGTGGGGATGGTGTGTTGAGGGTGATGAGCTGTGTTGCTTTTACGCCAAACATATCGTTTTGCATTGTGGCCAAAAAGTTCGATTTTGGTTTCATCTAACCAGAGCACCTTCTTCCACATGTTTGGGGTGTCTCCCAGTTGGCTTGTGGCAAACTTTAGACGAGACTTTTTATGGATATCTTTGAGAAATGGCTTTCTTCTTGCCACTCTTCCATAAAGGCCAGATTTGTGCAGTGTAAGACTGATTGTTGTCCTATGGACAGACTCTCCCACCTCAGCTGTAGTTCTCTGCAGTTCATCCAGAGTGATCATGGGCCTCTTGGCTGCATCTCTGATCAGTCTTCTCCTTGTCTGAGCTGAAAGTTTAGAGGGACGGCCAGGTCTTGGTAGATTTGCAGTGGTCTGATACTCCTTCCATTTCAAGATGATCGCTTGCACAGTGCTCCTTGGGATGTTTGAAGCTTGGGAAATCTTTTTGTATCCAAATCCGGCTTTAAACTTCTCCACAACAGTATTACGGACCTGCCTGGTGTGTTCCTTGGTCTTCATGATGCTCTCTGCGCTTTCAACAGAACCTTGAGACTATCACAGAGCAGGTGCATTTATACAGAGACTTGATTACACACAGGTGGATTCTATTTATCACCATCAGTCATTTAGGACAACATTGGATCATTCAGAGATCCTCGCTGAACTTCTGGAGTGAGTTTGCTGCACTGAAAGTAAAGGGGCCGAATAATTTTGCACGCCCCACTTTTCATTTTTTTATTAGTTAAAAAAGTTTCAAAAATCCAATAGATTTCGTTCCACTTCACAATTGTGTCCCACTTGTTGGTGATTCTTCACATAAAATAAAAAATTTATATCTTTATGTTTGAAGCCTGAAATGTGGCAAAAGGTTGAAAAGTTCAAGGGGGCCGAATACTTTCGCAAGGCACTGTAGATAGAATAGAGACCGCCACATCAGTGTCAGGTTTGGTAAGGATGTATATCTGAGTATCATCAGCATAGAAATGATAGCTGATACCATGTGATCTTAAAAGCTGACCAAGTGGAAACATGTAAATGCTGAAGAGCAAGGGGTCCAGAGTATTGAGCCCCAAGGAACACCAGACTTAACAAGACCAATTTTAGACCTATACCCATTAAGAGTGACAAAGTGACAGTGATCAGTGAGGTAAGACTTGAACCATTTGAGAACAGTTTCAGAAACTCCAAACACAGTCTCAAAATGAGAAAGTAAGATGTCATGGTCAACAGTGTCAAAAAAGCAGCACTGAGATCAAGAAGGACGAGTATAGTACCAGAATCAGAAGCTATTAGAAGATCATAAGTGACTTTGACCAGGGCAGTTTCTGTGCTGTGAAGTTGACGGAAGCCAGATTTGAGAGGTTCGAAAAGGTTATTTGCCATGAGGTGGTTATGTAACTGAAATATGACAGCATTTTTTAGACTTTTTGCAAGAAAGGATAAGTTGGAGATGGGGCGAAAATTGTTTAGATTGTCAAGAGCCATGTTAGGCTTTTTTGGTATGGGGGTAATGGAAGCAGTTTTGAGGGCCACCAGTGCTCAAGGATTCATTTATAATACTGAGGACAATGGGAAAGAGAGAAGAGAAACAGGACTGAAATAAAGTGCTGGGAATGAGATCTCAAATAGATGTGGTGGGTTTCATGTGTGTAACTAGTTTATTGAGGGATGCTGAGTCAAGAAGAGAGAAGTTGGGGAGAAGAGAACCAGAAAAGTTGGATAAGGAAGGAGGAGGTATGGAAATGATATGTGTAGTGGAGAGAATGTGATGCAAGATGTTGTCGATCTTGAAGGTAAAGAAATCTAGGAATGTGTTGCAAAGTTACGATGTGGCAGGTAATGTGATGGGCAGTCTGGCTTTAGCAAACTGTTGATGGTGGAGAAAAGATGTCTGGGGTTGTTATGGTAATTTTCAATGATGTGAGAGAAGTAGGTGGATCTAGCAGACTCTATTGTAACCTTATATTCAGACAAGTAATCTCTCCAAGCCTGATAATAAACATTTAGACGAGAAAGACGCCACCTACGCTCAAGTTTGCGGGAGACTGCCTACATAGATCGCAGATGGTCGTGTACCAGGGGGCAGGGTGAGAGAAGGAGATTGAGTTTTTAAAGGAGAAAAGGTGTCAAGGGTAGATAAAAGAGTACTGTATTCTGTCCTCTAGGGGGGTCAGAGGAAGAGAAACAGAATTTGCAAACCTTGGGTGATCAATTGATTGACAGTTGTGGAAATTTACAGAATGTGAGGGGGAAGTGTTAGAAACAGGTAATTCCAGATTGAAGAGAATAGCTAAGTGGTCAGAGAGGCCTAGATCAAGGGAAGAGCATTGGGAGACAAAAGAGTTGTTTGCCATGATTAAATCGAGGGTATGTCCTTTGTTATGTGTCCCTACACATAACAAAGGACACACCCTTGATTTAATTTTTATTTTACAAACTCTGAGTATGATCAAAACATCCCAATAGAGAAAAGAAGTCTTTAGACAGACTGGAAGATTTTGAGTGAATGTGTATATTAAAGTCCCCTAGAATAACAGGAATGTAACACTCCCTATTGGCAAACGATTGCTGCATATAAATTTATTATTTATGCACACACAAAAAAAGTGTTTGCCTTTTTCACAACTTACATTAGGACTTACATCTTTATTTTTTGTTGTTTTTCATACTGCTAACAAGACATTTCATTGCCAGCAACTACTGCTGCACGCTGTATTGTTGTGCATTTGATAAATAAAACATTAATTTGATTTTGATTTGAAGTTCTATCTTACAGTGCATGTCAATATATTTGCCTTTCTAGCTGACATGTGCAGGCTTCTGTATTTCCTAACTGAGCTTGCAGGGTAACAGATATCCATGCATCACCTGAGTTGTGTCAGGCTTATTGTTTTTTTACACATAGGTGTGCTCAGTGAGGACACACACCTGCTTTGATACTGTTCCATTGTGAGGGCAAGCACAGATCTCCCTGGCACCCAATCTTCCTTTGTCTAAAAGAGCCACCTTGATCTAAAAGAGTTCTTAAAGGTCTGAATAAAGGACCCTTGTACTTCCTGGAATTCAGTGATTCACGACAAGTATGACTTTGCTCTGCCTGTTAAAAAACTGATTTATTAAACAAGACTAATCCATAACTCACTCTGTTATATGATGTGTTTTGTTCTTATTTGATTGGGGTTATGAATAAATCTGGAGGTCACTGTATGTACAAATTTACAGTTCAGAAAAGGTGTCATACATAACAAAATTAAATGTTCTTAGGCTCTAGCTGACTTTACATTAAAACAAAACAGTATTACAAAAGGTGAAAACCTTTACAGAAATAAAGGAACAGAGATTAATTCCAGAGCAAAAATTTTATTTCAGTCTTTACTGCTTTGTTTTCAGTGCTGAATTGTTTATCTCTGCAGACTGAAACAGCTCCTCCATCTAAATCACAAAATTGCTTTATCTCCAGTATCTCAGTATGAGCTCTCAGAATTCAAAACCCAACTAACAAATGTTATTTAGCTGGATGTGTCTATTTCTTTTAGCTTTGTGACTGATTGCTTTTGAATGAGAAGGAGGCTCTAGGATGAAAAACACTTCTGCCAATAAACTAATTAAAGTTATTGCACTGCTATAACCATACTTTTGGCCAATACCATACATGAACCGATCAGTTGGTGTAAGGTTACTACTGAGTCAATCTGAAAATATAGTTTTTGAAAATGACGGAGACATAATGCTCCATGCATTTTGCCATCAGGCTCAAGGCAAAAAGCAATGACCTCTTTTTGGCGTCCACTGGTAAAGGATGGTGAAAGAACACTACGAATTATTTTCCATTTCTCATCTTTTACCAATGAAAGAGCATCATACATAGGTCCTACCAAATTCACATCCTGAAATGAAATAGGGTGTGCTACAGTCACAAAAGCAATGGACTGACAGAAATGAATCATTGCCTCTTGAACTGTTTTTGGATTGAACTGCTGTTTCATGGATCACAGAAACAAATGGCCTGAGTAAAAAGTAACATTTATTACCAGATTAATAATGACTGTATCCAAGTTGGCATCTGCCCAGATATGTTTTACTGAAAGCATTCAAGCATTGTATTATGTGTTAAATTCTATATAATACTACATTAGAATAATACATTTTATCACCCAGAAATAAAATAGGGTGTGCTACAGTAACAACAGCAAAACACATGTATATTAATATAGAAATCTAAAATATAGAAATTATCCATTGCTTCTGAACTGCTAAAACAAAGCTTGATAGATGTTTTTTACTATACATGCATGTTATTTTTTCAGAATTTATGTATCATAAGCAATTTGTATAAATGGAAATGATAAAAAACAACTCACAGTTCAGGCAGTGAGAATAAAATCAACTATATTGTTAACACAAAGTTAATCAAATTTAACTGAATTTAGGAACAAAACCAATATTAACAATATCTAATATTAACAATTTTGCCAAAATCGTTGTACTGCCAGGACTGCATCTTCCAAAATCACTGTGATCTCCTCTTACAGGCATACATTTTTTACATGACCCTAAGCATGCTGGGATGTTATCTGCTCTATTAGCAAATGCACCATGCCTGTGTGGAAGCCCTGGCTTTAACTATACTTGATGTCCATTTACCCAGGTGTTTCCATTTTTTGTTCATAACCTGTAGATTCTGATATGTTTAGCAAACTAGTAAAATTCTCATCAGATTCCAAAAGAGGAGGATTAACAAACACTGTAGAACCTACAAAGAATCTAAATATTTAGATTTAATTCAGGACTGACCTAACATCCAGCATATGTTTTTTTTAATGTAGACGAGTGCTGTGTTACATGCAGGCAACACAAAATATAAGTATAAAATATAGCAAAAGATATTGTTGCTTTGGAATTAGTATAGAAAAGAAGAGCAATTAGATACATTCCTGGATTCAAAGGAAAGTGCTATTCTGACAGTCTAAAGCTATTAAATCTTGATCTGAGATGACTACAAGGGAACCCTATTCAGCTATACCAAATCCCCAAGCTAGCTGTATGGACTTCAGAATTAACAATGTATCATGAACCAGAGGACACATACAGCAACTAAAGGGACACCAATGGTTGTGGGTGTGAACAAGCTACCAAGGCATTACTTCTTTCAAGAACTGGCTGGAAGAGATCCTTGGATGCCTTGGCTATTAAATACCAAACAAGCTAGATGGGCTGGGTGGCTTTCTCATTTGAAAACTGTCTATGCTTCTCTCAATGCTGAAAACGTAGTAGTAATAGCTAAGATCTAAAGACATAACAACAAATAGATTTGACATACTATTTTGTTTGTAAAAAAGGAATAGCACTCCTTCACCTTAACTGTTTTGATCATTGCAGTATCCATGATAGCCAGTGTAGGTCTCCTGCCCTCAAACATCCTGGACAGTGAAAGACAGAAAATGCAAGTGAGACCAGTGAGTAAATTGAAGTATATTCCAGATGTTAAGTTCTTAATGTGCATCAATACTCATATTGTAGAACACAGTCTATCAGCATCTTGATCAAGCAAAGACCCAAGAATTGTATTTGTTGATTTTACCTCTGCTTTCAATACAATATAACCGCTCTTGTCAGCACAGAAACTCTTAAAGAAGTTCACATTAAACAGCAACTTGATAAGATGGGTTCTAGACCTCTTGTCAAACATGTCTCGACAGGTTCAAGTGGCAAAATGGTTATCTGATATACACTACAAGTCTACTGGATCACCAAAGGGTTGTTTTTTGTCACTAAAGATTGTAAGAGCAAATGAACAGACTCTTAATTACTTTTTCTGATGACAACACTGGTCAGCTTACTAAAGGACTCAGAAAATTATCATGGGCTGTGACAGTGGGAAAGGAATTCCCCACTGTACACCACTAGAGGGACTTCTAGCCGGCCCCTCTCTAATTAGTTCAGCATGAGAATGTATTTCAGCACCACCTAGGTCTTCCTTAGAAACGCAATATACCACTCTCACGCGATCTCCCTGGGTTCGCCTCAGAACCACGGAACCAGTTGTCAGACTGCGGACATCCATTTCCACTCTCTTATAGAGATCTCAACCATCACGTAGAATTTCATCATTCAATTCAACTCAACTTTGTCATTATACTTACACAGGTGCATAGTATAGTGAAAAGTGTTTCTCATTAGTCACTCAGGTGCAGTATATAAATAGATGAGAAGATAAGACAATAGCAGGTAACACAATAACAATAACAGTGTCATCAAAACTGTGCAAATTCACAAACAGAGAAAGAATACAACAGGAGAAAAACAGTGCAAATATAATTCAGGGAACAGTGCAAAAATAGTATGGTGATTAAAAAATATTACAACTAATACAGTTTTAAGTACAATTTTGGCTTACATTCAGTTGTTGTGTATGTAGTGGCATTGAAGTACAGTCATTGTGGGTACAGGAGGAAGTTAGGAGAGATCATAGTATGATGGGATGGAGTGGGGGCGTCACCAGCTTGATGGCTCTGGGGAAGAAGTTATTTTGGAGTCTCATTGTGTGCGACTGGAGTGTCCGGAACCTTCTGCCAGATGGTTGGGGGACAAACAAGTTATGACTGGGGTGAGTGGGGTCAGACAATTTTGGTGGCTTTTTTCAGACTTCTGGTGTTGTAGATTTCCTGGATGGATGGTAAGGCACTGCCTATGATGTGTTGGGCAGTTTTGACCACCTGCTGTAGTGCCTTATGGTCAGATGCGGTGCAGTTGCCGTACCAGACTGTGATGCAGCTGGTCAGTATGCTCTCCACCGTACATTTGTAGAAGTTAGTGAGGATCTGTGGATGCAGGCATATTTTCTTCAGCCTTCTCAGGAAGTACAGCCGCTGTTGTGCTTTCTTGATGAGACTGGAGTTGTTGAGTGTCCATGTGAGGTCCTTAGAGATGTGAACACCTAAGAATTTGAAGTTATTCACCATCTCCACCGCAGACCCGTCGATGTATATGGGGGAGTGGACTTTTCCTTGTCTCCTGAAGTCAACGATCAACTCTTTGGTTTTGCTGATGTTGTGACATAGTTTGTTGGTTTGGCACCAGTCTGCAAGTTGTTTTATCTCCTCCCTATATGCATTCTCATCGTTGTCAGGCCCATGAATGTGGTATCATCAGCATACTTGATGGTGTTTGTGCTGAACTTGGCAGTACAGTCATGCGTGAACAGGGAATAAAACAGTGGGCTGAGCACACAGCCTTGAGGGGCACCGGTGTTAAGGGTGAGCATGTTGGAGGTGAGTTTGCCAATCCTGACAGTCTAGGGTATGCTGGTGAGAAAATCTAGGATCCAGCTACAGAGGGTGGCATCTAAACGTAGAGCCCTGAGTGTGGTAGAAAGTTTTATGGGTATGATGATTTTAAATGCTGAGCTAAAGTCAATGAATAGCATCTTGTATAGGTGTTCCTTTTATCCAGGTGAGTTAGTGTGGTGTGTAAAGCTATAGAGACTGTGTCACGCCCTCTGCAGCCAGAGGGCGCTCCTTCTCTGTCCTGTCCCTAGTTTCCGGTCTGCTGTCCTTCCTGTCCCTCTCTTTCCCTTGGGCTATATATTTCCGGGTCTTGCACTCTGTCCT